AACACACATTGAATATGAAAAATAATTCATACAACGTTTAAACAGGAACATACACAAAGTAAAATGAAATATCAGTTTAAGCTTCAAAATTGATATTAACGTATTGTAAGCATTACTTTAGGGTAAAGAATGAAATGTAATACCACCAGCTATTGATTTTATAAAAATGAATACTTAAAATCGACATAATTTAAAAAAAAAAATGTGCCACCATAATTCTAAATGTTATATACAAAATGACAAAAAAATTATATTTCATTTAAATGAATTCAAAGCTCAAAATTCCAATTAATCAATAAATATGCCAATTAATTGTATGCTTTATGGTTTTGTGTAAATTATAGCAATTTGCTGTTACTATATAATATGCCGCAATGTTCTTCTTTGTTATAGTTATCGGAATTTATCAATCGCAACTTCTCGAGTCTTTCTGGTGTAACGTAGTATATTGACCGGGGTTGAAAATGGACCCGGGTTCATTTTCAACATTAAATATTGAACCGTGAGTTCTTTTCACCATTGAAAATTGAAACCAAAAGTCGTGAAATTTATACCAGGGGTCATCCACAGTTTGATAATTCTTATTTTAATCTTCGATGTCCTCAACAGCCTGAAAATTTAGCCTATTGAATATTGGCTCCAACTACATGTACAGAGTTTTGAATTTTTGAACTGGTACTTGTTTAACGCGATTTACCTGTACCTGTTTATTAATATTTTAGTTTCAAATGTAACTTTTTCAAGGAATGGAGATCTGCCCGTAATTACAAAATTGGTACATTAACGCATTGGCACTAGCAAAAATATAACATCGCGTTAGCAACAACTCGTAGGAGCGTTATTATCGCCAGTCAGTTACTTTCAACCGGTTTTATTGAAAATGAAGTTTGATAACTATTTCAATTTATGCATGAGATATGAAGATAACGAACGATTTTCAAGCTCATAGTCCATTCAAAAAATATAAATTGGGAGAAGAGCAAACACAGACTTCCAAAAACATTATAGGCTGGATCAGGTACCATGGAGGAGTAAGCATCTCCTCTCGAACGGTCACACCCGCCGTGTGCTCCTTGTTATGATCGGGAAAGCAGGAAAATCCGTAGAAATTTCAGTGTGTAAATGATGGCCGAACAATAAGTATGAAAATTGTCAGTCAGCAGTTTACCTATGAAAGATTGTATATGCTAATAAGGTCATTTGAAAGAACCAAAGAACTTAGGAAATGATGACTTCAGACGAGACTGTTGATATCCCTATTTCATCAACTTGTTGGTTAATAGCTTGTCTCGCTTTAGAAATTGATCGTACGCAGAGCATGCTATTGCGTATCGAATCATCTGGGAGTCATAAACCCCATATGCATGTGATAAGGGTATATTGCTACATAGGTAAGGGAAGTTGATGATAGAAAAGTTGAAGTCATCACGTTTGTCATAAAATTTTGTTGTTAGGTTACCATTAAGATCTTTTCAATTAAAATATCAAAATATGAAACAGATGTATGGGACTCTATGGTGTGTTTTATTTCAAGTTCACCTGGAAATATCGAATCGACATATGAATGAAAGTAACTATTGGTAACTGAGAAAGGACCCGTTCCCCAAATATAAATTTTGTATCTCTTGGTATTATATCATTCCTGCAATTAAAAAAAAAATTGATATAATACCAAGAGATACAAAATATATATTTAAGGAACGTGTCCTCTGACCTTAAGGAAGTTTTTTTGTTTTTTTATAAAAGGGTAATTTCTATCAAACAACTTTCTGTTTTACTAACAATATTAAATACCTGTAATAATAAAATAAAATAAAATACATTTTACATACAGATACATGTATGTTAAATGAATGTCATATTAATATAAATAAATCACGAGGGTCATCCAAAAGACTTTTGTATTAGTATTATTTTTTTTTAGTAAAAGAGATATTATATATAACCAAATTTTTTGGATATATTTGAATAATAATTCCCAATAATATGAATAAAAACAAGATTTTTTTGTGAAACACTGATGCCCCCGTATGACAACTTAAAGAAAAGGTTAAACTTTCTCAAATGCAATTTAAATATGATGGTACCCAAAGTAAGGTCTTGTCTCGAGGAATATACCTGTGAAATATGAAAGCCGTACCACCAATCATTCAAAAGTTATGACCAAGGTAAAAGTTTTTCAGGGTAAAAGTAGGTAAATGGATTACAATTGTTGGTATCCAAAGGATTGCCTTGTCACAAGAGATGGACAAGTTAAATAGGAAAGCCCTCGCTTCTACTGTTCAAAAGTTATGTCAAAGGTTAAAGTTTTTCAAAAGTAGGTCAAACTCCAAGGTCAAAGGGTCAAAGGTGTTGGTATCCGAAGGAAGGTCTTGTCACAAGGATGACATATGTGATGTCTTAAAGACCTAGCACCAATAGTTCAAAACTCATAGCGAAGGTTAACGTTCTTTAAAAGTATGCCAAATTCCTAGGTCAAGATCAATAGTCAAAGTTGCTGTTGTCCAAAGGAAAGCCTTGTCACATGGAATATATATGTGAAGTATGAAAGCCCTAGCTCCAACCGTTTGAAAGTTATTTTCAAGGTCAAAGTTTTTCAAAAGTAGGTCAAACTTTAAGGTCAATCAAAGATCCAATTTTGTTGGTATCCAAAGAAAGGTCTTGTCAAAAGGATTGAATGTGTGAAGAATAAAAGCCCTAGCTCCAACTGTTCAAAACTTGTGGCCAAGGTAAAAGTTTTTCAAAAGGAGGTCAAACTCCAAAGTTAAGGTCAACGGGACAAAGCCAAATGAAGGTCTTGTCAGGATGATTACACATGTGAAGTATGAAAGCCCTAGCATTAAACGTTCAAAAGTTATGGCCAAGTTTAAAGTTGGGTAAAATTTTGCAAAACTGTATCAAACTCCAAGGTCAAGGTCTAAAGGTCAAATTTGATGAAATACTCATGTGAAAAATGAAAGCCATAACTCCAACCAATCAAATGTTATGGGCAATGTCAATTTAATTAAAATTAGATGTTCCGAATCCGCTACCGCTTTTGAAGCGGTAACGGATTCGGAACATCTAATTTTAATTAGATTGTGGGCAATGTTAAAGTTTTTTGCGGACAAAGAAACAAACAAATAAAAAGACACACAGACAGACGGACGGACAGGGCAAAAACTATAAGCCTCAGAATCTTCGATATGGGGCATAGAAAATAAATATATTTACATTGATATCAAAATTATCTAAAATTTAACATTGCTAAACTACAGTCACGGAACAGGTCAAAACTGAGTACTTCTATAAAAATACACTTTGTAATGTCAAAAGTCTTACCTAAAAAAAAATACCAAAAAATTGCGCTATTAAAACGAAAGAATAAAAAAACTGTTAAAAAATACTGTTACATCATTCCATAAACCACATTGTAAATAGTTTATCGCTTTTTTAAGAACAAATACTTTATCGCTTCGTTGAAAAAAAAAAAAAAAAAAAAAAAAAAAAAAAAAAAAAAAAAAACTATTTCAATCCAAGACAGGTACTCCTTTTTGAATAAAAGGCGTAAGATTTGACGTCACAGGACATTACGATGCAAAGAGAAGTGATACAAATTTGTATTGCTCTCGGGGAAACTCTAAAGCAAACTCTGCAAAATGCTGGACCAGGAAATACATCATAAATGAGCCATGCATTTGTATAATAATGAAAAAAAACAACAACAGTTTTTGAAAGATATATTTTGAATATGACGATAGGCGATCTGCGAGGAAACAAACTATAGTTGAACAAAATAGTCAAAAGATTTTGAATCTCGTCGAAAGTGATTAACTGTTGCTGAACTTGTGAAAATAGATTTTCGCAGTAAAGAATTTGAAAACACTGACAAACTTCTTAACTTACAAGTGTATGTTTCTCAAACAGTAAAGTTATATTGAGAGACGTTTAAATGACTTGGTAATACGCGTAAGAAGAGAAGAAGGAGAGTAATTTTGAGAAACTTGAACGGCGTTGCTTTTGAAGTTACAATGTTGGTAAGAGTGTTCCATGGTGTAAAAGAGTGCTGACCTAAAAATCAAGTAAAATGAGTTCAATTTTATAAAGTGGAATAAAACTTCGCACATTGGAGAAATAAAAGTTTGTTTTTTTTTTTTTTTACATATGAAAAATGTGAATCTTAATCTTTTTTTTAAAAGTGATATGATGAAGAGCAACATTGTGTAGCTAGATATGTTCTGAATGGCCCTCTTATTATACACATAACGACACATATCTAAAAGGCTACAAATATGTGTTTGTTGTTGTTATGGTCCACTGCTATTTCAAGGCATTGATCCTTCCTCCTTGTTTTTAATGAAAGAATGTTCATGTGGGTTTCACTTTCTTAAGTATGTTCTAAATAACTCTTCGTCTTTTGTTAAGATATTAAATTGAAATATACTTGAAAGCATATAGAAAGCAATATTGCAATTATGATTATGGCTGGAATAAAATTTTCCATATGATGAAAAATCATCTAAGAATTTACAATAAGACCATGCGCCTTTATTGGGAAAATATTTAATGATTTCTGAGCTTTATGATTTAATCTGAATTATTAAGGTTCATACACAGTCTGTTCACTCTTATAATATGTTTCTTTAACTCTAATGATTTTCCAAAAGAAATGTATTTGTTAAGTAAAATACAAACACTTATAGCAAAGCTTGCGGGGCAAAATTGGACGAAAAAAAAAAGACACATCAACTTGACAAATTTGTAAAGGAATAGTGGGCATTTATGTCATTAAGAGTTATCTCTCTTATCAGAGTCTTGATGAAACTTTAACACTGATTTGATTGACGATCTTGTTTTAATAAGTTCAATACATGCTTATTTGAGTTCATGCTATCTAATATATTTCAAATGTATTTTTTTTTTGTCTATATACTTATACGTTGCTTATTCTATAGACACAAATTATGACTAAAGTTTAAGATACATGTAAAGAAAAAAAAAAAAAATAAAAGTGTCAACAAGATAAAACATTAGATACTATTTACATTTACGTATCTGAAAAAAAAAGCAACTGATACATGTAACAGGTTAAGTTCCAGCGCGTCTATAGCATCACAGTTTTCAGACACAAGAGAAAGGCCGCAACATTATGTAATCAACAGAGATGTCACTTTCGTAGCCATGTCCTCTGACGCCTTCAATGATTATCTAGAAACATTAAATGAAATTAGTTTAAGGTCACTTGTTAAAATATACTTTTTTCATACGTCATGATGAAAGATACTACAACTATTTTTATAAATAATGTAAATAATTTAAACCAAAAAGTATAACAGAATTCCCATAAAGCTTTTTAATTTTCTTCAAACGATTGTGTCATCTATATTTATTTGTTCTATATATATATTTGACAGTTCCTATAATTGAATGAAAACATTAAGTCCAAAAAATAAATAAATTAATTTATTTGAACAGGAAATGATCTGAATTGTTTTATTATAAATAGGAAATTATCTAATCAATTTAGTTACCTTAGTGTTGTTGTTCAGAGGGAGATTGAGTTTATCAATGCTGTTCCATTGGTTCCCCTGGTTACCTAGCATTTCCCAATGAGTCACTGCCGTGTCATTTCCGGTCTTGGTCTGAATCTTCAAAGTTCCGGTCCTTGATCCGTACATGTGGTAGTACATGGAAAGGCAGTGCGTCTTATCTGAAAATTAGTCAATAAAAAGGTAAATATTAAAAAGTAATCATTCTCACATATCCTGTAAACAATTGTAAAAAATCAAAAAACAAGTCCAAAACAAGGACCCCCTGAAACACCTGAGGTTTGAAAAATGCCTGTAAGAAATACTGCCCACATTCATCTTGAAAATTGTACGCAGTTATAAACATCTGCTTAAGAAGTTAAAAGGATACATCTTGTTGATGTAGTACATTGACACATGCTTAAAAAATCCCCATTACGGACAGAATTATGGTCCCATACGCATGAATAAGCAGATTTTTCTATCAGTATTTCTAAAGTACAAAAAGAAATCTGTTGAAAAAAATGTTCTTATATATCTAGTACATTGTAAAATATTAATATACAAAATGTGGAAAAATGAATGACATTTTTTTTTTCAGTTTTCTTCCGCTTCACCTAATAATACCTCCTTTTCCTTAAAATGTAATGTACTTGTCTAGTACTGTTTTCAATAATAATCCTTCATAAACAATAGTGGTATTGAAAACAAAGTAAATAAAAAAAAAGTGCCGGCATACATTTTGAAAGAAAAGAAAATCAAGTCGGGTGTTATTCTATTCTCTATTGAAAAAGAATAAAAGCTATCCATAGACTATTATGCAAAAAATATAAACATAAAAATTGTATAATAAATCTAGACATTGACACCCAAAGTTCCCATGCTTTCTTTCAATAATATTAATTTGAAAGCAAATATGTCTTTTTATATCTTCTAGCATAGATATTGTTTGCAAAAGTTTCAATAGGATACAATTGCGTAGGCTAAATTTTACTAGATTGAATTGTTACATTGGATAATACATGGTATTACCACGACGATCTGAAATTTAAAAAAAAAAAAGCAGTCTTCTGTGTTGAAAACTACTGAAATATCACCGTCCTTGAAAAGCAACAATCTAATTCTCGAAGAAAATCCAATTAATTGTTTCAGACCCTTGAAGATCTTTAAGCGGCAACACAGAGAATCGTTTCGTAGTTTAGTTGCAATTGGTACAAATACACATTTGATATGTTGGTAAAGTGATAGAAGAAATGTATGAAAATAAGCGAAGCGTATCTCGAAAATGCTCAATTCATACCAAGTTGTTTGACGTCTCCAAACAGTAACTTGACATACCTGACTTATATATTGACATAGTTATTGATGAATGACGTACAGTAAATGATTTATAATACTTTTTTACACAGTGCATTTTGTATGTCTACACTTGACTACTAAGACTTGAATTTCTGTATATACCACACAGAACAGTTCCAATTAATTTCTATACTCATTTAGACTTACCTTCAAAAACTCTGTTGCTGACCATTTTTGCGTTTTCCCCGGTATTTTGATAGGTTGCCTCTATGTACATGTAATATGTGCCGGCTTTGGCACCCTCAGGACCAGTTAAACTAGATGGTGTGTTTCCCTTTAAATTTCAATGCAAATTACATATGTATGTATCTCTTATATAGCTTTATAAATATTGGAAAGTTTTGTCAATTGCAAATCATCTTCTGTGCAGCCACATGTTTGTTTCAGAATAACAATTCAGTGATTGAATGACAATACATAAATATGTACTTTTTTCTATACCATTTTGCACAATGTCAGAGACCAAAGTTCGAATACTGCAGAGGGAATCAAACCACAGATTAGACTTAGAAACAACTTTATTGTAAGTCTCAACAACAGCTGAATAATATGTAGAAAATATGGATTGTGTTTCGCTTTAAAGATGTCTCAGACAAATTCTAGTTATTAAAAATACTTTTCAAACACCTTGACCACAAAAGAACTTTTTGTAAAGTGAGTCGATTTTAACAAATTTCTTTAACAAAATCGCAGGTTTCTCACACATTTCTAGCTTGCTCCTTACACGGCTTGCGGAAAATACTTTTCGGCTTATATGAAATATCATTATCAAGAGAATGACTTTGATTTGGTTCTTCCTTAACCCCATGATGATAACATTGGGCAAAATAATGATTCCTTACAACTTACGTATGTTTTACCTATTAAAATAGTTTAAAGTGATCTTTCCAAGCTTCAAAATATCTACTCATATAAACTTTTGCATAAATGTCTGATAACCTATTATGGCCTCACCCTATTCCAAGGGTCCGTGTCTGAACTTGAAACTAAACAACATGTCAGAAGATATCTGCATTATGATACGACTAATGATGACTTTTAAAAGTTTATTAGAAAAAAAAGAAGTATTTTTCAGATTTTATATTTCATTAAATTTCTAAATAACCTCTTCTATTGTGGCCCTCCCTATCCCCAAGGACTGTCATTTGAACGAATATGAATCCTTACTTCATGTCCTCGAAAATGCTTCAATATGAATATGACAGATGTTGTCTTTGCTGTTCTTGAGAAGTAAGACTTTTGAAGATTTTTTTTTTCAGCATATTCCTACAATATTCATAATTTCGTAGTTTCACCCTATTCACAGGGACTTGATTTGAATATAACTAACCACGACATAGCTGTGAATCTACACTACCTTAGAATACATTTAATTATGACAAACCATAGCATTATTCTTCTAAAGAAGAAATTTTCTTTTTATAATCCTATGTAAATTTTAATCGCCAATTGTGGTCCCATCCTATCCTTGGGTGTCAGGATTTGAGCAAACTTGAATCAACACTACCTAAGATTACGCCTATTTAAATATGACTAAAAATGGCATTTCCTCTCTTATAGGGTTTTTTTTTCTTATATTTGTGTGTATTTGGAAAACACACATCAGCATAATGTTGCTATTTATTTTATTTTGTTTTAATATTGACATGGTTTTGAATGTGTAATTAATTATTGATTGTATTGTTATCACAGCATTGCGTTTCGGTTGTTTGATATCGTACTGGTGTATCAGAAATCTAAATTACTGTTCCGCCTTCATCAGGGATCCAGCCGTAAAGGTAGCTCAGTCGGTAGAGCACTCGCTCCGTGATCGGAAGACCGTTGGTTCGAATCTCGGCCGCAACTGCCCTAAGTCGATAAAAAAAAAGGTAGCAACTGTTCCTTCGCCATGCGCCCGGCGCTTTAATGTGAAAGTTGCAGGTTCTTCGGATGAGACCTTAAAAACCGAGGTCCCGGTCACGGCAGGTATTGGCACGATAAAAATCCGTCACTGCTGAATGGCCCCGAGTGCCGAGTAAAGGTCTAAATTTGAAGCCCTGCAACGGTATATGATGACGTTTCTATATGAGTGAAAAATTCTCGAATGGGATGTAAAACAACATACAATCAATCAATCTATTATCAGGGTTTCGAACGTAATTTCTATTGTGGCAAAAAAAGCTTTTCTAAGCAAATCACCAATTCTATTATGTTAAGCATATGCAATCATTGGTCTTATTTAAAAGATTTTCTTTTTGCATGTCTCAACTTTTAAAATTATTATTTGAATTCCAGACCTATGAGTCACACTTTGTAATTAGAACATAATGTATTTCCTTTGTTTTCTTGGTTTTATGTAGCATTATGACTGTTTGAAGCCAGGGATTCATTAATAATTGGATCAATCTTAGTTCTCTTGTATTCTCTATTTAAAAGTTGTGATCTGAAACCCAGAAGTTCGTTATGAATTATTTCCTTGCCACTTGTATGTTGTACGTGTCTTATACATTCACCCCTTGATAAAACCTTTGAAGACTGATTTAGGGTGAGCGCTGTGATGGTGCCAATATTGGAATATATGAAGGTTTAATATATGATTTAACATCAAGAATCTGAAATTTCGTGAAACGGATACATACACATGTGTCCAGAAATGGTAGTGATGCTTTAGATATTTCAGAGGTGAATTTCAATAAAGTATGGGATTCATTTGCTTTTTCTAAAAAAAAAAAAAACAACAACAACAAAAAAAAAACAAACAAACAAACAAACAAAAAACAAACAAACAAAAAACCCCGAATAACTTCGTTTTCCCGACCATCATAAATCATAAATTCAATATAACGGAATCGCCCATAAATATAAATTTCGTGCTTGTACTCAAAGGTGGTTACTAACATTTCAGTTATTTGATACACTTTCAGGTCCGATATTCTTGACTCCTCGGGTTTCAATTTGACAGCCATTTTTTTATTGTAATCTTTGCCACTGAATTCAAATAATGTGTTTTCGAGAATACCCTTGAAGAAAAACCAAGGTGAATTAGTTTTTACTAAAATGCATTCTCGAAAACACAAAGCAACGTCACAATATTTGACTTTTGACCTCTAAATATGACCTTGACCTTTATTGTGTATAAAGAATGGAGGCTCTTTATGAATATGCATAAATATCATATCTCTACTAAAAATGGATCAAACGTTATTTTGCATTAAATAACAGACTGTCATGTTGATGGCATATGAAGATGACAAAAACATTCTAAAATGTAAACTCTCGAATGACCATTTTTTAGATCAATCTTTGGTCTACACTACATAGATAAGACTAAACATGGTACAAGTGATCTCATGAAGATTTTTGAAAGATTTTTTTTTCTTACATTTATACTTGTAAAAGTATTTTATATTGTGGCACCATGCCAAACCCAGGAGACCATGATTTGAACAAAATGTTAGAAAGGATTATTTTATTTTTACATCTCCATGTTAATCTTTAAACGTCAAACACTTTTAGGATGTGACATAGAGGATAATAAATTGTATATATATATGTTCTGTTTTTCTACATAAATGATTTGAATGCTATTCTCGTGTATACTCAAGCGTAGAAATACACACGGGGAAACTTACGCTAAAGTGATGTCACAATGAGGCTACAGAGACGTTAATTAAAATATAACAATAAAGGCCATTTTTTAAGGATAGTGCGATTCATTGGTGTGTAAATTACACAGACGTGCACGTGTTTTTTTCATGAAGGGTAGCCTGTGTGATCTAACACCAATTACTCACACAAAATTAAAATAGTTCTTAAATATATTGCTACCAGTACTTTCTAAAGAAAATGCGGATAATTGTTGTTAAATGTAATTTGTCATTGTTTGTCTGTCTGTCTCTGTTATTCCTTCATGTACTTGCTCTTATAATTTTAACAGTAACCAATTCGTGTTTTTGAATATGATAGGAGGTATACTGTAGATGTGCAATAAGGTATCGAAATTTTGGTTTAAGTCCGGGGGGGGGGGGGGGTGTCAAATGATAGTTGAAAAAATTACTTTTTTCTACAAAATCCTGATTTCCAGAACCTCTCTATCATTTTACAAAGTAGCCATTTAAACTTTTGCAAGATGGTTGGTGATGTCCTGTAGATGTGAAAAGTGGTTTCTGGGGGTCAAATGTGGGTAAAAAAATTATATTTTTCTCCACAAAAGACTGGTTTGGTTCCCAGAAATCCTCTTACATTTTACTTAGGTGCAAACTTATCTTTTGATGGTAAATGTTGGTGTCATGTAGATTTGCAATAAGGTTTCAGAGTTCTCATTTTCACCCTTTAAACCTTTACAAAACCCATGTTTCCAGATCCCAGTTTCAAGATGAATGGGGTGTTATGTAGATGTGCAACAAGATTTGAGATATTCAATTTTCACCATTTGTGCCAAATGGGGATGGAAACTGATATTTTCAAATTAAATTTTTCATTCATTTTTTGTTCTTAAAAGACAAATTTCTGTCTGAAACTTCTTGTAAAACAAAATCTACTTCACTACAATCTTTATTTTGTCGCTCGCGTGGCGGATTGATTAAAGCATTTGCTTTAGAGTCGCAGTGTAAGGAGTTGAACCTTACGTCGTGGGTTCGAATCCACGGCGGGACGTGGAGATCGATTCCTCGGATGACCGTATAAACCGAGGTCTCGTGCCACAGTAGATGTTGGATGAAAATGATCCCTCACTGCTTTATGGCCCTAAGTGCCAAGTATAGATATAAATTTGCAGTCCTCCACTGGCAACTGGTGGCGTCTCCTTATGAGTGAAAACCTATCGAGAAGGTCGTTAAACAACAAACAAACAAACAATCTTTATTTTCAGACCGCACTGAGTTTATTATTTAAAATACTAACATAAGAGGCCGTGTTCATATGCTCGCCTGTGCAGGTTATGCTCAATTTGATACATGTACGTGTACACAATTATTATATAAGTAATAGAATAACTGTATGGCTTCTTCCCTACCCATGCTACAGTGTATAAGGGAGCTACCATAAATTAGAGGAAACACTTACGTGCGAGTATTACTTTCTTATGACAGCATCTATTTTAAATTTGATTGTTCTATTTTTTGTCTCAGTTGTATTTTTTGTAATGTGATTGAATATAAAATATTTTGTTTTTAAGAAAAAAAATAGCATTTTATTATTATTATTATTATTATTATCATCATCATCATCATCATCATCATCATCATCATTATTATTATTATTGTCATTATTATTATTTCTGGTATATTTTATCACATATTTTTAAATTATTTTTTTTTCTGTAATATTTTATCACTTTATTTCAAACCGATTGTAAGGAAATAATAAAATGTTTACTTTTTTTTTCTTTTACAAAATAGAGCATGCACTTTTTAAATTCATCTTAACACCTGTCTGATGTAAGCCTTTATATCTACTTATTCATGGAAAAAGCTTTATTTTTCTTTCTTAAATGTCCAATTACTGCTCGTGTATGTTAAATAATCATAACTAGTTTGATAAATAATACAAAATAATATGATTTTCGATTGTGTAATTAAAGGAATATTTTTAATACGTTATTTGTAAAAAAATTTTAATATAATTTGTAAAGATTCTGAAATATGTCTAACTGGATGACATATACTCTTTTTTCATTTTCATGATTCACAAACATTGTGACCTTAAAATAGTGTGAATCTGAAGCACTTATTCATTAAATAATAATCACCTGTTAAATGATTCCATCTTTATGTAAATAAATAAATAAATGATAATAAATAAATATAAATACACAGATGATGAATAAATAGAAAAAAAATGCTACTTTTATCAGTAACTAAGAATTTTGTATATGTAGTCGTAGCCTTTTTTCATGATCATACTGAAAAAAAAAATGTACATATAATTGTATTCAGCGAACTACTAAAACTATTATCATCTAAACATATTGAGATATTCGTATAAGTAGGGAAAAAACAAATACGTACCGAGTGTCTAGTCCAGTTAAAGATGTCGTCGGTTGCTTCGGTGAGGAAACATGAAGATTCTAGACTCGTCTCAAAATCACACAGATCTATATTATAAAAGATAGTCATACAAAAATCTTAATCATAGGTAATTTAATCTTTGCGTAGTCTATTCAAAAGAATTAAAATACCCCTTACAAATACAATATACGGACCATCGAAGGTGAGTTAAGCTAGGCATGGGCGTTTCTATGCAGATGAGCTAATTAAACACATGAGGCTTGTTTTTTACAAAGAAAAGGTTCAATTCTTAGTTCCCACTACCTGTTACAGCTAATACACATTTAAACGTCACATTTTGTTCTCTACTACTCGGGCCTCAAACATATCTTATTGCAGTTTACAGAATTATTGTATAAAGACAGGACGGACATTCCAAATACTGATGATAATGCTGTTTAAATCCGGTTCATAACCTCATTTGATCAGAATTAAAGACTAAGAACAACCTTGCTGTTGACTCTGCATTCTCAACTCAAAACTCCACATACATGTATAGTAACGTAACACATTGAACTGTCGACATTTTGCGGTAAAATAATCAGTCTTTGGAATAGTCTTCTTATCATATACATGTATTTTTTTTGTCAAATTAAATAATAGTATGCTACTATAGTAAATCCCTGTGCCAGAAGCTGTTTTGTTGATGTTATTTCTCTGAGATGTAAACGACAATGACATCAAACATGTATTGGTGTATACGATGGCATGGGTGATTAGTATGTATAAGAAAGTAAATATAAACCTTTTTTTTATTGTAAAATTAGGAAAATTCTTATATGTTTAAATTAGCATATTTGCATAGAACACCTATACATTTAAATGTAACTAGCCGTAAAACTTAACTTGTACGTACTTGTGTACATGAAAAAGGTGAAGATAACGGACATTGATCAATCTAAGGAAAAACAAACAATACAAATCTGTGAATAGGGCATGAAACCCCCGGAAATTCAAACGGTGGGATCAGATGCCTACGATGAATAAGCATTCCCTGTAGACTGGTCACACAGCCCGTATTTATCAGGTAGACGGCTAATTCCGTAATAAAATTTAGTATAAAAACAAAGGTCTAACAATAAGTTTGAAATTAAAATATCAGCCAAATTACCATGCAGTGACAGTTTATATCTGCTAACATGTTCATTTCTCATTCGACCACAGAATTTACAAAATCTAACTTTAAACGAGGTTGTTGAAATTTGTGCAACATCAACGTATCTGTCAGTAGCTTGCCTCTGCTAAATATGATCGTGCGCAGAGATTGAGTATCGAATAAGATGGGAAACGTAAACACCATATGCAGGTGATAGCCGAATATAACTACAACAAATAAGGAAAGTCAATGACGAAAAACTTGAATCCATCTTGTTTGTCATATATTTTATTTGTTAGTTGGCTCTTATCGTATGTAGTCAGTAAAATATCAATATATGAATCAGATGTTGCAGACTCTGTGGTGTCTTTTACTTCAAGTTCACTGTGATATATCGAGTCGACATATGAATGACTATTAATGGCAGTAACTATTTTTTTTTTTTTAAATTGATAAAATGTCGTCAATATATATAATGTCGAGTTGAAGGTCACCGCAAATGTTTTCTCTTTCTTGTGTAGAAATTTCTGAATAAATTTCGCTTCACAGGAATATAAAAACAAGTAGGCTAATAAAAGTGCACAATTATTGCCTATCAGACTTCAAACAATTTGTTAGAAGACCTGATCTCCAAATAAGAGACGCGCACAACAGATAAGTTATTTTTGTTGGTACTAGTAAAATGCTCACTGAAAATATATTTGATATTCACAAAGCAGGAACAAAAGAGGGCCAGACTTTGACGATAACAAATCGATCGGAACAGCTATATTAGCATGTATTATCAAGTGCAATCACTTTCATTTATGTTAATATTTGGAAGAACCATGTACATGTACTCATGTTATAAAGAAAATCTGAGAAAACCCTTGCTATAAACGGTATTTTTAAAGGGGGGGGGGTTTAAAGAATTTCACGCCAAAGAAGCCCTCGACATGTTTAGAACAGGAATACATTAAAAGATGATGCAAACTTTTACATTGCCTCTACAGCACTATCGTGAGCCTTGGACAGAAATTTTAACCCTCAAACAGCATGTCTGATCACTAGGCTGAAGCTAGCAGCCAATAACGGCAGCCACTAAGCCCGTAGAGGCTAGCAGCCAATAAGGAAATTCATCAAAGGACTGAGAGTACTCTGACGCAATACTATTTATACATTATTTTCGAAAAATTAATAATTAATAATTAGATAATTAACGCAACACTTAATTACTTAATGAGTCAAACACGCGGACAAGCTCATCTGCATAAGAAAAATTATGCGGTTTCAAAACAAGAAAACAAACAAAAGAAAATGTCATCATCTTTGACCGCTTAAGAACAAACCGACGTTGGAAATAGGTTTAGTGCTACAGGGAGAATCCCTTTAAAGTCCTTTGATGGGTCTCAGGAGCATGACGTTGCCGATAACCTTACCTGAACTTTGCACACTTCTAATATTGTAGATTGATATTGGGTTTGATTGATTGATTGATTAAATATTGTTTTACGTCCCATTCGAAAATTTTTCACTCATATAGAGACGTCACCATATACCGGTGAAGGGCTTCAAATTTTGACCTTTACTCGGCACTCAGGGCCATTGAGCAGTGAGGGATCTTTATCGTGCCAACGCCTACCGTGACACGGGACCTCGGTTTTTAAGGTCTCATCCGAAGGACCCGCAACTTTCACTTCAAAGTGCCGAGCGCATGGCGAAGGAACAGTTGCTACCCATTTTTATCGACTTAGGTGAGTCGCGGCCGAGATTCGAACTCACGACCTCCCGATCACGGAGCGAGCGCTCTACCGACTGAGCTACCGTGAACGGTGATATTGGGTTTGAAGGTAATTCAATCTACTTTAGGTTATTATCATTTAAATGTGCTTCGAACAAATACTGGTACAAGGTAAGGCTATTATATAATTATGGCCATAAAAATAAGGCTGAAGTGGTACCACCAAGTGGTGCCAAGGGCAGGTCAAATATTTCAAGCAGCTTTATTCCTTTTATCTTAGAAGTGCGCTTCAAATCATTACTGGGGCAAGGTAGAGGGCCCCGAGGACTATAATTTCCAGCTTTCAGAATGGGGCTGTAGTGGTACCACCAAGTGGTGCCAAAGGTGGGGGCGTATTTCAAACATTCATTTTGAAAGCATCTTTGGCTATTAGAACAAACTAACACTAGTGAACGGTTAAGGACCTTAAGGAGAACCCCTTGCCAGTTTTATGAAGGAAGGGGCCAGTTAGCTAGAGTAACCTGAACTTTGTTGTTTTTCACTTTGTGTTTTAATAAACGGGTTAAAGGTCAGCTATTATACCACTTATCTTTGAAGTGTGCTTCAAATCATTACTGGGGCAAGGTAGAGGGCCCCTACGACTATCATTTCCCGCTTTCAGAATGGGGCTGTAGTGGTACCACCAAGTGGGGCATGGGCGGGGTCGTTTTTCAAGCTTTCATTTTGATAGCATCTTTGGCTAATAGAACAAAGTAACACTAGTGAAAGGATAAGGACCTTAGGTACTTGCCAGGTTTTTGAATGGTCCCTGGGAAGGAAAGGGGCCAGTTAGCTAACCTGAACTTTGTTGTTTTTCACTTTGTGTTTTTATAAAGGGGTTAAAGGTCAGCTATCATACCACTTATCTTTGAAGTGTGCTTCAAATTTTTACTGGGGCAAAATAGAGAGCCCCTAGGATTATCATTTCCCGCTTTCAGAATGGGGCTGTAGTGGTACCACCAAGTGGTGCCAAGGGTGGGGGGCGTATTTCAAGCATTCTTTTTGAAACATTCTTTGGCTACTACAACAAACTAAAACTAGTGAAAGGATAAGGACCTTAGGGAGAACAACTTGCCAGATCATTGAAGGGTCCCGGGAAAGAGAAAGTAAGCTAACATGAACTTTGTTGTTTTTCACTTTGTGTTCTAATATACAGGTTAAAGGACAGCTATTATACCTTTATCTTTGAAGTGTGCTTCAAATCATAATTGGGGCAAGGTAGAGGGCCCCTAGGACTATCATTTCCCGCTTTCAGAAAGGGTCTGTAGTGGTACCACCAAGTGGTGCCATGACTGGGGGTCGTATTTCAAACTTTCATTTTTAAATAACCTTACGCGCTTAGAAGAAACTAATGCAGGTTGAGGATCATTGAAAAATTTTATCGGGTTCTCTCGGACTTGATGGGGGCCAGTTCAACTTTGTCGTTTATTTACATTGAATATTGATTCACGTATAAAGATCAGTTATTATAATCTTTTTTTGAAAATGGATATGCATGATACCGTTAGTAGGGCATGGTAGGTGGCGTATCGGGCTATTCAGATTAAGACTTTAGGTTAACTACCTAGTTGTGCTTTGGTTGAAAGCCCTTTTTGAAGTAATTATTTTTTGCAATATTTGAACACCATAACAAACCAACACAATGGAAGGATAAGGGATCATAGGGAGTATTCCTTTTCAGTTTTTGGAGGGTCTTTAAGACTGGACATTGCCAATATTCTGATAGAAACTTTATTTTTTTCTTGTTCATTTTTCAAGAAAATTTAAGATTCGTCTATTACCCCCTTATCTTTAAAGTGTGCATGAAAGCACTTTTGTGGTAGAATGGGGAGGGGGGGGGGGCTTATCATTTTCGCTTTAAAGTTGGAACTATAGGGGTTCTACCAAGTGGGTTGTTTCAAGCGTTTTTTTTTTTTTTATCCGCCATCTTTGAATAATGTAACAAACCAACACTAGGCAAGGGATCATAGAAAGTGCCCCTTGTTATGTTTTAAGAGAGTCTTTGAGGCAATTATCTCATCCGAACATTGTAACTTTTTAACATTATATTTGAATATGAGGTTGTTCGTTTACTCAGGTGACTTATTGCTATATGTTTCGTCTGTTGTCATTTGTCGTCCGTCGTATGTTATATTTAAACATAAACAGCTTTTTCTATGTGACCTTTATATCAATTTTAATGAATTTTGGTA